CATTTCTTAAGCAGTTATGCTCTTAATGCTTAAAAGAAGGCTAGCATTGTTTGCACAAAAAGTTGGTGATCCCCCCAAAAATAGTAATGAAATTACTTCTGTCCAGTCAACTTTGTATGTCATGTCAATTTATAATAAAAGCTGAAAAAATACCTTTGTTTTCTATTTATAAAGATGCCTTTTCTATATGTACCTTTGATAGATTTTGAAGATAACGTTGTAAGCTGGTTCAAAAGGATCTGAATGGTACAGTAGATGTAAAAAACAAAACCCCAAACAGAAAACAAGTCTGGTTGTTTTAATGTAAAAACAATGGTTCATTTAATGTTTTATTTGAAGTTGGCTTTTGTACATAAAGTTCAGTAATATAAAATCTGCCATGATGGTTGTCCAGTCATTTTGTGTGCATGCAGAAAGGCCCCAAGCAGCCCCTCATAGGAACTTTCTCTTCTGCATGTCTTAAAATTTGGATACATATTCTTTCTTTGCCAGATTGTTGAAGGTAGTTAAGTCTCTTTCAAGTCTTTTTGATATATTTAAGGTGTCTCCATAAATCACCAGGTTTGTAGCTGGACTATAAAAATCTGATTCTCAGCAGCAGAAGTAGCACAGATACATATCTGCAAGTTGTGTTTAGAACTGTAATTTATGCATAACTGAATACGAAATGTATCACTTGTCTCAGTTGTAAGACTTATGTGGTTTTTACAGGCAAGTGGTTTATGTTGTGAACAGATTTTGCAAGATACATGATTTACTTGGAGCAAAGTTTAAATCGGCATCAGTTTAAAATAATGTCTCTCCAGGACTGCAGCAGATGGATACTCCAGGTACTGCAGAACAAAGCGAGGAGGGAATTGCACTGCTCGACCAACTGGTGACTGCGGAGTAACAGGCACCAAAACCCTTTTTCCCTGTTAGAAATAATTCAGATACGGACACACAGGATATGACAGCTGGATTCTGTGAATTTGACTGCAGTTGTCCAGTACGCTCTTGTCTCTAAAATTGGCAAGGTGGTTCTAACCCCGTTCATGGCAGATTTTAATGATGTTTTTGTATTTGGTGATCAGCTGAACACAACAGGTCTGTGACCTCCAAGTTAGAACCTAACGTATGTCTTGAATATTTAATTCAGTGCATTAAATACTATATTCAAAATTGTTAGATGAATTTACATGTTAAACTTAAGTGTACATTTCTTTGAGCGTGTCTCAAATATAGTCCCTGAATGTTTGGGGAGGGGGTAAAGATTCAGTGCCTGGAACGAAGCCATTGCAAATAACGTGAACTGTTGTGATTACTTCACTCATCGGCAAAACAAAACCCCCAAACCACACAGCCCACCCCAAAGCAGCGATTTGATTTTACCTTTGAGAATGCAGGAGATACTCTTTGCGGACAATTTTGACAATACTGTTCAGTGTTAAGTATTTCTTAATCCACAGACCAGTTGGGTGCCATCATCAACCACTGCCTGGGGGAAGGTGTCCCTGTTGGACCAGTTCCTGGTTAAAACTGATACTGCGTGGTTTCACAACAGGACAAGAGCTTCAGATGAAGCAGGTAACCTCTTCTTCTGTGACTTTGATATCTGTCATTCTTAAGTTGCCTGATTCGGGACAGAAGATGCACTATTTCTGAGAGAAAGCTACCAGGTCAGCAGCCTTGCTTCCTGGTTGTACAAGTTATTTTTCCTTTAGAAGAGAACCCAGAAATGGAATAGGCTGCAGGTAAAGCAGAACTAAGGAAGAAAGTAAAGCTGTGTTAGTTCGGTTTGGGCTTTATTTTATGATCAAATACCTCTGCTTCTTGCTCAGTAATGGCGGCCAAAACCTGCTGCTGTGTCAGAGCTGCACTATTTAATGCAGCAGTAAGGAGATGGGAACAGTGAAAGGGAGACAAATGAGCTGTAATGGAATATTGAGGAAAGTAGTTTACAGATGCTGCAAGTAATTGTTTTATAAGAAGGAAAATAGTTTCTGCAAGAGAGATGTCAGTTAAGGTCTGAACTGGAAATAAGGTCTGAGCTGGAAATAACGGTGAGTGCACGAGTGAGAAATCAAACAAAAATTATAACTTCTAAGGGACAGAAGAATAAAGAGGAGGAAGCTCTTAAAGATGGCAATAATGCTACAGAACACATTTTCTTTTGCTCTTGTTAGAACACAGTGATGCTCAGCTTCATGCCCCAATAAATAAGTTGCTAACCACAGACAGCTGATGGATAAAACTTTATTTTAAAAAAATCAAATTTCACTTGACACGTAAGTCTTAGTTGAGGTAAGTGAATGTACTAGCTTAAGAAAACAACTTTCAGGATTGGATTTCGTAAGCAGTTAACACTGTTGCTTGCAAGGCTCCAATAGCTAGAGGAGAAAATTGTAAAGGATGTGTCAAGTTTTCTACCTAGCTGAACTCCACCGTGGAAGACAGAATTTCAACCTTTTTAACTCAAGCCTCTGCTATAATTTTTTGCATACTTTATTACTCGGGCCTCTTGCCCTGAGACATTTCACCCCTCCCGCTTCAAAAGGTGCAGCTCTAAGAGGTGGCTGAACAGTACCTAATTTGCAATTTACAGACAGCTAGGCTTATGCTAAGTTTAAACAAAGAGGAAGAACAAAAACGCAATCCAACATGGGCCAACTGCCCTTGCTCAATGTACAGCTAAGACTGAAGTCAGAAAGAAGTATTTCTTCGATTGCCATCCTCAGCTCTCAAGGGGAGCAGCAGGGGCCTCCTGCAGCCCTTCACAGTCATCTTGAGCTGCTTTGTGTGTCTTCTGAACGAGCTGACGTGGCAGCACCAGCTCTGGAAGTACCTGAATTCAAGGCTTAAGCTTTATTTTCTAATATGCAAGTAAATACCCTGCAGAGGCAATAGCCTGACCTGCCTCTCCACAAGCAGGTGAAAAGGTACCTGACCCATCGGTCCCTTAAAACTGTACTCACTCATAATTTTAGTTTCCATATGCTGAAAGTACTAAGTTGCAAGTAGTGTCTGGCACCTGAAGTAAGTAAAATTACCAGCACTACGAAGTGGAGCAAGGTCTATGTTAGCTGCTAGATGGAGTCTCAGCCTGACCCTCTCTGAGCAGGACCTGATACTGTTTGATTGTCTCCTGAACCTTCCTGGTTCTACAGGAGAACTGTATTTTAAAAGTATCAAAAATACTTGATAATTCAGAGGAACACCAAGCACAGGCTAAGCTAGTATTGCCCTACTCCCTAACAGTGAAATAGTTAAAACTTGAAAAACAGAATACTGCAGGCTTTTTGTTGCTAACACTGGGTCATCTTAACTGCAGGTGCCCAATCTTCCTCACTTTGTGTCTTGGAGTAAATTCCAACCTGCCATGTGCAAGTTCTTTGCATCCATCTGAATCTACTCACAATTTTTTTTTCTTGTAAATTGCATAAATGCCAACAGCCATTCTTGTCTTCTGAAATTCTTGTACCCCTACAGGTGCTTGGGGAAAAAACGCAGGCAAGAGTACTCGTCTTTTTGTACCAGCAATGTGGGTACGGGGGATATTAATCCAATGTAAATTAAGCTTTTTCTGCTAGGATAGAGTGCTAATGTAGCATGTTGACACTGCAGGAAAAAGGGCAGAATGATTGTCTACAGTTCATAAAAATATTGCTATTCTAACAGGCTAAAATAGATTCAACTGAACTTGAGGTAAGAAGGTCCTCGGTGAGCATCACATCAAAATGTTCTTTAAATCCAGTAGTACTGCTATCTCTTGACCAGGACTAGGCTCTTTTTCATAAGCTCCTTCTAAATCTAATTTAGTGGAAAGAGTAGTTAAACTTTATGTAACTTCTGCATTCAAAGTCAATTAATTCTCATGGTAATATCTTCTCCCATCCTACTACATCAAGGAGAGCACCGAATTACCACCACGTGCTCCACTTTGCCTGCCACAGGGTTCAACTGTGCCAGCAGCGTTTGCCTTGAGGCCCCCTCCTTCCTCTCCCACGGTGGATCTCCAGCCGTGGTCCCAGCTTGCTCGGGCAGCCCAGCAGGTCCTCGACCCTAAACCTGCGCTATTGCACAGGAGTGCAGGGTCATCCCAGGCAGCTTCCTGGCATTTCCAGGAATCCTGCGCATCGGAACAGCGCTTCCCCTGCCTCTGTTTACTGACAGTAAGAAGAAGGCTGTTCCTCAATTGCAGAAGGGGTCTGTGAGGAACCGTGGCTGCCAAGCCGCGTGTCGTACCGAAGTACAAAATTGCTGTGACTTGCTCTGCTGTGGGCTGCACGGTAAATTCCACCTAGGGAAGACCAAGCAAGCAGCTAACTGTCCTGCTCCACGTACTGGTGTACTTTGAGGCGATCGACTGCAGTAAGTCGATGTAAGCATCACCATGCCACTACTCGAGAAAATCTATTCCAAGCAACAACACAGAGAATGGTTCAAGAAATATCTGGAAATAAGGCACTTACGTGACACATTAAGACACTGACTATAACTTTAAAGACATTATGGCTCAGACGTCCTTGCTCTGGAGGGACAAACAGTACCGTGCCTGGAAGAAATGGCTGTTGCATGCAGATTCCACTATCCGTTCATACTATTAAGGCAGCACTGTGTACAAGGAAGCATAGCAGGTTGCTGCTGCTCTAAATACTTTGCTATTTTTGAGTGGTATAAATAAAACTTTGGTCCACTACCACCCCTCCACCCCCTAACTGTTTACAGGCTTATTTCACGGAACAGCAGCATTAAGCAAAGTTAAAAAGTGTGTACCCTGAGACTAGAGTACAATGAAATACTGACAAAAATCAAGTCTTGAGGAACAAAGGGAAAGGTCTTATGGACTGCTTAAATTATTTTGCCTATACAAATGCATGATTCTGACTTTTTCCAGAGTAACATATCCAATGTTTCACAATTATTTTTTTTTAAATGAATCCAGTAGGAAGTACAATATAGTAGAGTTCAAGTAGTATAAAGACATGTTTTTGTTAACAGATTGATGTCTAACATGCTGAAAACCCAGGTTTTAACATTACACTTGATATCAAGAACAAAAATCCCTTCACTCACTGCTAAAACACCAAAACTTTCCAGCCTGGGTATGAAAATGAACATCCAAAATACAAAGCCCCACAGCACTGATCAAGTACCCAGTCAAAGACCACTTCTCTGTTGTTAGAGCTAATGGTTACTCGAAGCTTGAAGTTTCCTCCCTCGTTGCTGGAAGGCCCCAACTGCACAACTTCCATGTCAAATGTCACAGTTGATCCAGAAGTAACAGCAGGCAGTTGGTTTGTCATCTCTTTTCCATTTACAAATACTGCCCCTAAACAGTCAAGATATCAAATGTTATTTCTCACTTCCTGCACAAGCTAACGTGCAATACTGTGTCTCCTTATTTTTCACAGACAAGTGGAAATGGAAAACAACCCTGCCACCTTCTTTTTTGTCACATCAGACATGTTGCAGTAACTGCAAGCGGGAAAAGGAGATAATGTGGTCCCACAAAAAGATTTTAACTGCAGGGTCAGTATGTACGTAAGAGATGGATGAAGTGGCACTCGTGATCCAGGAATACAAAAACCAGAGGCCATGGGATTTGGGGAGGAAAAATATAACTAAAAAAAAAATAATCACATTTTTCAATTATGTACTTCAGACTCACCATTTGTGCTAATGCACACGGCTTTATCCCGCTGCAAAGAGTCGTAGCCGTTCTGCTGCTCCACACACACTCCTAGGCTGTCTCGTCTGTCTGGCTGTCCCACCGTTTCAATTCTATCAAGCAAAAAATAAGTCAAGCCCTGAAGCTTTAAATTAAAACATACAATGAAATCCAGACAGTAATGCCCTGTCACACCAGACCTCTCTAGTGTGCTCCAGGGCTTTCAGCAAATTCATCCAACCTTTTAGAGAGATCCCTGTTGAAAGACCAGAAGTCCTACCAGCTTTCCCAACAGCAATGCTCTTACTGTTAATCTGTACAAAACATGAATCTGCCTCCTGCAAACTTTGCTGTTTAAATAAAATTCTCCACTGTCGCAACTTAGAGCCTTTGGAAACGTTTTCCAGCTGTCTGAAAGAACCAATATGTGCAGAACTACCATCATCTACACCAGACTACTGGTCACTGTCATGTATTACAGCAAGACAGCTGTAGCTCCAGCAGGATCTTAATAAGCATGACTAAAACCTGCAGTTTGAGCCCTGGTATACTCTGCTGTAAAGGGGTAGGGGAGGAAGGCAGTTTTGGCTGCGGTGGGTTGTTGGGTTCAAATCCCTTCTCACCACTTGCAATGCTACAGAGCAAAATCTTGCCTCTGCCACCGCAGCAGACACCGAACCAGCTCCACACCACCAGTTTCCATTTGTCTCGGAGCACAGAGAAGTAAACCTGTGGGTGAACACACGTGCCACCTCTGTACTCGCTGTCAGCAGAGCTGTGGGCTCCGGACAGTCAGCCCAGTGTTCGCAGGGCATCTGCTGGCTGATCCCAAGTCGCCAGCCTGGCCAGAGCGACAGCGGCTCCCACAGCAAGCAAAAGCTTTAGAGCTGCTGAGCCCGGCACTGTGGAGAAACGTTCCCTCTCCTAAGGGCAGCTCCCTGAAGGCTGCAAAGAAACAGGATGAGTCTTGCCTTAAAGCAATGGTGTCTTCCTGCAGCTTGTCCCAATGCCTCACCTCAGAGGCTGAGGCTGTCGATCTTTAAAGAGCAGACACAAGGCACTGCATTTATGAGGCTTGCCCCTGTCCTGAACACATGAGAAGAACACAAAGCTGCTTCAAAAGCATCTGTAACGTGAACCTTGCTTATTTGGTTTGCTGTGCAAACCACTTATCCCCTTGTGAATACACTTTTGTTTCAACAGATGGAAAAAGCCAAGCACCAAGTACTACATGTCCCTCCTGAGGAAAATCTCACACAGTTTCAAACATGAAGCTACTCTCAGACCTTGGAAAAGGAACACAACCGAATTCTGAGGTTGTCTTCAATCTTGGTGTCATTATAGTTCTTGTGGACACGGGCTTTTTAGTGCTCTGCCGCCCTGAAACAAATCTCCTCTGGAGAGGAGTCCACACTACCAAAACGTAAAGCAAAAAATTTTCATGTGCTACTAATAAAAAAGATAAAAGGCACTGGTCTGAAAGAGAACCAAGGGAAACCTCAAAGTTCTGCCTTTAATTTTACAGACATTTCTGAGCCAAGAGGTTAAATCTAGCAACAGATTTCAAATGAAAGCTTTAAATCTTTTTATCCCATCTCAGACAGGGCAACTGAATACATCCTTATACTACAACCATCTGAAGTTAAGATAATGAATTATCAGGAAGGGAGGAATGAAACACCATGGAGTAAGTTACAAAAATACCATGAACAGCCCCCTTAAATTGCCTTTGGGGGTTGCCTACTGTACAGCAAGTAGTTTTATTTAACCAGGGAAAGATAGAATAAAGCTTCAGAGTTTCTGAGGTCTGTAATTACAAATGACATATCCACAAGGATGTTCCTCACACCCCACTAAACAGCATCATCTCAGGGACAGGGCTACAGGCAGCAAAGCTGCCAAGTTTTTAATCGCGTTCTGTGTCAAATGGAAAGCTTGAATTTCACAAGATCCCTTCTCCACTCAGGATTTTCTAACGCCAGTTTCAAGCAGTAGTAATTATCTCCAGTGTTAAAGACATGAGTCCCAGGCTGTCATCCTTAGCTGTCCCAACAGCACACATCATATTTTCATGTCTAAAGTCATCAAAGTGCGTGGAGGGTCTGGGAAGAAAAGCACTCCCTGTTTAGATAGGTGCAGGCCCTACAAAAACATCAGGTGTTTTACTAAAGCGCCAGGAAGTAGAAGTAAGCAGAAGGAAGTTCAGACTTCAGACAGACACGCTACCTTGGCTGGGGCTGAGCTGCTGTAAAACTCCCACCACGCATCCTGAGTCAGGCTTACACACAACTGAGACGTCAGGGACCCCAGAAGGAAGCTTGGCTCACAGGAGATGCACCACCCAACAGCTACTTGCCTGAACGTTAATGTTTGCCCACAGAAGTAAGTAGGAGCTTTGGAGTAGAGCACACCACATGACTGAGAATCATTTCGAAGAGCTATGTTTCTTCGACTGCTCAAGCTGTAACCCTCCAAACCAGTTGTCCATTCTTCAAAGAAAAGAAGAAGGGAAAAAAAAGTGTGAATTTCAACTCAACTCGCTACTTTCTGTGCAAGATAAGTCAGTTGCAATACCCGCTCAGTTCACCTCATGGGACGCTTAAGCTATTCAGAACAGGGGCTGGTTTTGCTGTGTTCTGATGGAGAGATTTCTTTTTCAAATGATTTGCAGTTACAGAAGTATTTCCCAACTCACAGACGTCACCAGAAATTCACTCTGCAAAGTCATATCATAGGCAAAGGAAAACCTTCATTACCCACTGCCTCTTAAAAATTTGCAAGTGAAGAGAAAATTTAGGTTTTCCTCTCTCAAGGAGAGGAGTTTGTGAGACTGTAGGTCATCAAAAAATGCTTAAGGGTTAGGCAGAAAGAAAAAAAATGAAGCATTTCTGGCTCATTAATGTTTCCCAAGGCTAAGTGGTGAGCTACCCGCTGGAAAGGCTCACCGTCACACACACTGTGAAGCAAATAAATCACAGCATGAAAGGACAGTCCATCATACATTACACACATAGATCGTAGCTACAGGCTCCCCAGCACCACACAAAAAAGCGGCTCCGTAAGTCATTCAGCCATAGACCCTCAGGAGTGCTGGACCCACGACACAGGCTTAAGATGAAGATGAACAGTGACGGAACAGTACCGTGGGGAACCAGCGTGGTACAGCCCGTCTGAGGAACGCTCCACGGACTCCACTCTTGCCGTCCGTCTCCTCGGGCACAGACTCGGAACTGGTAATCGACGTGAGGATCGATATGCAGCACTATGAACTCTGTCTCTGAGCCAACATAAACATCTTCAAAGTGTCCGGCAGTACTCTTACGATACTGCAGTCGGTAATCTTGTGGGATGAAGTCATCATCCACCTAGAGAAACATTCATTATGTTAATAAAAAACCCTCACTTTTTTCCCTTTCGCCTCTAAAGCATCATGTACTAGGGCAATACTGCAGGCTGTCATCAAAGGTGATTCAGAGCCTTATAGAAAGTAAAATCAGTGCCTGAAACAACTAATACAAAAAGAAGCATGATACAATTACAGTTTAAAAGGAAAAATATTTAACAGAAGGCTCTTCAATCCAGCAGAGAAATAACAAGATCCTTCAGCTAAAAGCTGAAGACAAATTTGCAGAAGAAATTCAGCACCAATTTTTAACAGCAAGGAAAACTCACTGTTACCTTTCATAGACTGTTCCAGGGAATGACTTCCAATTCTGAATCAAAAGAGATTATTCCCCACCCCCCTGCTAAACAGCTCCACTCTTCTCAAAGCACAACCAAATTCAGGGAACTCCTCTATAGCACAGAAAGTCCGATCACGTGTGGCAATAGTGCCTATGGTTTTGTAATCTGTGTCCATATCCTTTACAAAGTACAGGTGGCAGGCCCACAGCTGGCTGTTGCTGGAACAACATAACTTTGTTTAATGCTGCCAAGGAGTGCAGAGCGCTCCAACAGCAACAAAAACCACATCAGAGCACAGCAGCGAGTTACTCAAAATAGGTTTTGTGTATTGAAAGAAAGGCTACATGACTAGCTAATTTTCTCTGTTCCCTGCATCGTTTAGGTGTAAAAGCACAACAAAACAGGTTCAGTCTCATCCTGGGTCTGCTACGGTGTCTTCCAAGGGAACAAAAGCATCACCCCAGCACTGAGCTACATTAGTGTGGGGGCACTGTCTGCCCGCAGGCAGGCACAGGTAGAGTCCAACACGCAAGCGTCACTGTCAGGCAGACAAAAACACCAGTGCCAACCACAACACCACTAGGTTGCCTTGCCTTTAAATGAGGCTGTTACTGTCAAAATCTCTTCTAAAGTTTCTAACTGCGCACTGGAGTAGACTGTTCCTTTGAAGGCAGTAGACAATCCAGAATGAAACTGGCTTTTTTCAGTTTGCTTTCAACAAAACTGAAATCTGAATGATTTTCAGCCAGGATATTTTACTTACCTTACACCATCGGACTAAAATACCTCCAGGCTTCTCAACAAATTCCTCTAGCTGTACAGGTGGGCGAGATGCCACAGTTCCATGTCTGAATATTTGATTTTTCAATATAGTAAGAAGGCAGTCGTCCAACTGGGCAGATAAACAAGGCACGTCAACCAAGGAGGGCACTTCTGGTAAGCTGAGAAAGGAAAGCTTGCTGTAATGAAAGGGGACAGCTTCTACGAATTCGTATTTCATCCATACACTTGAATTGGTGCAGATTTGCAAAGAGAGAACAGCTGCAGAAATTGGCATGTGCATTTAAAACTTACAAGACTCAGAAAACATTGTGTTTCAGCCCTAACCAGACTGTCTGTTTCTCAGTAAACACTCTGAAATACAGGCTGTTCCACAAGGAGTGGTTTCATCGTTCACAAATAAACAGCCTATATTTCTACAGAACATATGGAGGTTGAGAACTACTCAGTTCTGTGGCTGCCAGCCCCAATGACAGTCTATGAAACAAAGCAGACAGTAACACCTCAAACAAATCTTGAGGCAATGGAGCAGAAGGCTTTTGTTTCAGAGGAGAAAAGATCCCCTGTACCAGAAAAGCACATGTCCCGCTGCCTCAGATCACCTTGTATCTTACCTATCTAGCTGAATATGTAAAGCTTTTTTTGTAAAGTTGCAAAGTTTCTCATTCTGTTGTCCCACATCTCCATGGACTGCACTCTCTCCTGGAATCAAATGGCAAAAATATTCCTAATGAGAAAACATCCAAGAAAGGCATTCTTTGCTTCAAAGAGTAACCAGTTCTGACATGAACAACCAATTAAACGTGAAGCATTCTCAGCACTTCTGCTAGACTCTTAGCTAGAAAATACAATTACAGCTAACAGTATAAAGCCTAGCTAGCAAGTTTTGAAGCTCTCAAAGCTTCCTGTAAACACGCCCATAATAGATGTAATAATTTGCCTCAGGTCTCAGACAGTAACAGAACTGGGGTCAGATGCCAGAAGTCAGCATTATTCCCTTCCTCCACTGCTTTAAAGAAAAAAAAAAAAAGCAAATCACCTTCTCTGAGCAGAAAACAAAAAAAGCGGGACCTTAAAAGCAAAAAATGTCAGTCGTTGTTCTGTTTGCTACAATGTCAATAGTTACTATTGCCATAACAAAGGAAATAATCCATGCATTGAAGCGTGGAGATATATGGAAAGCTTATGAAAAAAAAAAGTCTATTTAAAGTAGCATCCCACACTTCAGCTTAGTGAGATGTAGCCTCCATTCTCCTGTCTGGTGACTTTATGGTAATTTACAACATAAGCAAGCTCAGTCCTTTTCTAAATGGAGGATTACAAACGTTATAAATCTCTAAAGAAAAGCACATGTCATGACTGGCAGCAGGAGATTTAACAAGCACAGAGGCTTAACTCCTTTCTGACTTGTTCTGAGGACATGACTTAGCAATGCTTCTGCTGCTAGAGGGACTGGTGACCCAAGGGATAGGAAGAGCCCAACTAGACAGGTTCTCTTGAAATCTGACAGAAGCTCGTACAAAACGCAGGCAATCTTTGCCCTGTGATTCAGTAACTTGAGACTTAAAATAAAACCAAGGTGACTACCAGCTGTTCTGGAGGTTGTGGTGCTAGACACAAAACCCCAACAAATTAATTCTTAAATATTAGAATCATAGAATGTTTTAGGTTGGAAGAGACCTTGGAGATCATCTCATCCAGCTCCCCTGCCATGGGCAGGGACGCCCTTAACCAGCCCAGGTTGTCCATGGCCTCATCCAACCTGGCCTTGAACATCTCCAGGGAGTGGGCAGCCACAGCTTCTCTGGACAATTTATTCCAGAGTCTTGCCACTGAAGAATTTCTGCCTAAGATCCAATCTAAACCTGTTCTCCTTCAATTTAAATCCATTTCCCCTTGTCCTGTCACTGGACACTCTTGCAAAAACTCCCTCCCGAGCCTCCTGCAGGTTCCCTTCAGGCACTGGAGGCAGGGATAAGGTGCTCCCAGAGTCTTCTCTCCCTCCCGAGCCTCCTGCAGGTTCCCTTCAGGCACTGGAGGCAGGGATAAGGTGCTCCCAGAGTCTTCTCCAGGCTGAACAACCCAAGCTCCCTCAGCCTGTCTTTGTAGCAGGGGTGCTCGAGCCCCTGGATCATCTTTGTGGCCTCCTCTGGACTCGTTCCAACAGATCCATGTCCCTCTTACGGTGGGGACACCAGAACTGGACGCAGTATTCGAGGGGGGGTCCATCAAGAGCAGAGTAAAGGAGGAGAATCACCTCTCTCGACCTGCTGGCCACCCTCCTCTTAATGCATCCCAGGATACAGTTGTCACTACCCCTGAGAGCAGGAGGCACAGAGCTGCCGTGCCGGCACGCTCTTCAAGCGCAAAGCTCATGACTGGGTGGAAGCTGGTAGCTTTCCTACCCTTTGGAGACCGCTCAATGCACTTTAGTTCACAAAACTGAGATCGTGTTGAAAGAAAGTTAAAGTTGAGACACGAGAACAATGCAAGGAAACTGCCAACACACTCATGGCTCAGACATGCTCCCAGTAGGTTCTCCAGCGTGGGGAAAACAGTCAAGAGTGACATTCCTTTCTGGCTAGGTATTTAGCATTACTGGGGTACAAACTGGCTTTTGAGTAACATTTCACATGTCCATTATTGCCTGCCTCATCCTCAGACTTTTGGATAACTTTTTCCCATACATTTCATTCCCCATGTTCCCCACCAGTGAACATAATTACACTTGGCAGGAAAGAATCTGTTTACTTCAGCTGCTGTCCCAATAAGACATAAAAAACTTCTTTCAGAGATATTCTGTTATTATGCTACCCAAGATGTATTTTATTTCAGAAGTAGCCAGACACAATCCTCTTTCTAGCATGGAGGGGTGCAGGACACCTCTGCAGTGAGACATTTCCAAAGTAGGTACTTCCTGCCCTTCTGGAGAGGCTAAACTGACCGATGTACACCCTCAGATTGAAATATTCAAATATAGGCTTGTGGGAGATAATATTGATCAGCTCTTCACTACATCTACCCAACCTTAACCTTTTGCTAACATCTGGTTTGAGAGAAGCCCCAAATGAGACAAATATGCTGATCGTAACAGTCTTCAGGAGAAGACAAGCAGGAAGGTAGAGCCAAGACTTATGACCAGGTCCTGCCTTACCTTCCCGGAGCAGATCATCGGCTGTACTGACTCCGTGCTCTATTAGCTTCTGGCATTCATCCAAGGGCTTGATGCTCTCTTGTTCTATAGTATCCACTTCCTGCAGCAGTGACATCAGTCGCTCATCCAACAGCTTCTTTAGGGTCCCTTTTAAATCATTAAAATGTTGCTCAAGTACATCTCTGGTCAATGCTGCACTTTCTCTGATCTAAATTCAGGTAACAGGAAAGAAGGATTCAGGACAAAGGCAAAACCCACTCACATCTTTTATTTTTCTGAACCGCCTGATCTGCATCTGCTGGTGAAAAGCTGCATGTGAAGTCAGGCTTTAAAAAATGACCACTGGCAGGTACCAAACCAGTACAGTCATCCCTAGGACATGTACAGCAGGGAAGGAGACAAAGAAGCTAGCCTGGACAAGGGTGAGAGCATATCACCCAAGCAAAATACAAATTGGGTTACATGTGCTTCAGTCAAAAGATTTTTTCTTGTCAGAAAAGTGTGAATGCTCTGCAGGTCTTTCCCCCACTGTCCCTCAGAACTGCTGTAACCTTGTTCAAAAAGACTGCCATAGAGATAATCCTCATTGGAAAGAAAAAGATATCAGGGCCTATCACTTCGCTGGATATTTGAAATCCTTGTAAAACTGCTTTCGTTTATTATTTTTCTTTCAAATAGCCACCTCTGATTTGTCTGTGGTTCAGGGTTACAGGGCAGGGTAAGCAGCAAGTCTGTTTTTATTCTGGAAGAACTAGACCACAGAAGGTTCTACAAGTGCTTATTAAAATGTTTGCAAACTTGCTGAATCTGACTTTTAGGGAAGAAAAAGCCTTTGAACATCCCTGAGCTAAAGATGCAAAAGTCAGAAGTAAACATCTCCCTAGAAACAACTTTTCTAAGTCACAGACAAGGAAACGCTGCAACACGCACACAGCCTTACACGTAATTTCTAGATCTTGAGAACTACAGACAACTAGCACAGGAAGTTCTCTGGTTAGGTAAAATAAATTTCCTCTTCAAGTAATATTCATGAAGCTCTAAAGCTACCACACAGCTCAGTTTCCCTTCTCTTATCATTTTGACGCTTAAGAAAAAAAAAAAAAGGAAGTATTAAGCTTCATGAAAGGGGTGGAGCGGAGTCACTTCTCCGAGCCCATTACATGCAGATACAAATTCAACAGGTCAGCCTCAGACTGACAGACACTACCTCGCTACGGAGAAGAGGAAACGCAAGTCCCTGAACACACAGAGCTGCACAAAGTCTGTTGAAAACTGTGTCCTATTGGCCCAAAAGAAAAGGATGCAATGAAAGTGATCTAAGGCGCCTTTCCTGCTGCACCAGCCCCACTAGTCCCCAAATAATAAAGCTCCCACTATGTGAAGTCTACGACATTCAGCCCTTCACAGAATCACAGAATGTTCAGGGTTGGAAAGATCATCAGGCCCAAAGCCGGGGAGGTTGGACTAGATGACTTGTGGACACGGAATTCTTGGATGCGTGTTGCATGGCTGATTCTTTGTGAACAAGATAACATGTGGTCCTGAAGACAGGAAAAAAAAAAGCAAAGAAATTCCCTGAGAGGAACAGGAAAGGTAAGTGCACTGAGCACTCGCAGCCACCGCAGAAAGGCAAACTGGTTCCTCTCAATGAACTTGGAGCTATCAGGCAACACTCCAAGATGATAAGGTTTAGATTAAAGACAGCCAGGAACAATTCATTTTCTTAAGTAGCTTGCGGTTCTGAAGATGACTAATTTAACGTATAGCGATCGCCCGCGTGCACTCAGTAGCAGGACACTAACCTCGCAGATTTCTATGCTAATGGAATCTGCTTCAGAAAAGTTTATCAGGACACCAGAGAAACATTTTCTGAAGTTGTTTATTCATTTTATTTATCCCCTGCAGAGCTGAATCAAAGCTAGTTAAGTTCTTGTCTACAAAACCTAAAATGCTTAGGGGATGTCTCAGCAGAGAAGCCAGTCTTGCACCTGCTCTGCACAATCTCCCACATCACACATCTCCAGCGCAGAGTGGGTGGGTTACTTGTCCCAGTGAAAACTCTCCTGTGGCTCCCGCTCACCGCTGCAGAAAAACCAGCTAACCTGGGAAGCTGGCAATGCTCATACGCGACCCACGGAGTACGTGAGGCACGGGGCTGGGTGCATGGACAGCGGGGCTCAGGACAGCCACCAAACTAGGGCGTAACTCACCTGGGCAGGTCTCTCTCACACGGGCAGCAAGGAGACGGGCACGGCCTCCCTGCAGCGCCCGGCTTTGCGTCCAACTACTCTGGAACACGCTGTTGCTATTCTTGCCGAGGAAAGCCCCATCACCCTCGGTGACACACCTCGGCGGGCGCCCCTTCCCCCCCCGA